GAGGGTGCAGGGCAGGTGTAAGCACCGGCCCCACGCCAGGGCTACATGTGGAGTGTTTTCACCTGTCCTGTGGCAGCTCATTTTGGGGCATCCTGTTACCTCCCACCACTTTCCAGATAAGATAACCAAGACTCAGAGAAATGACACAGCCTTATAAGCACCAAGGAGAAAAGCCCGGAATCTCAGTTCTGGTTTATTTTGGCTCTAAAAGCCTGGTGGAGAAGCTGAAATGCATGGAGGAGGGAAGGGGGGGAGGGAGAGGGAGGGAGGAACTCAAACACATTGTAAAACAAAAATGCAGATATGTAACACCTCTCAGGTGAATTCAATTATTTTCAGTGGATTTTGCCCAGAGGATAAAAAATAAATAGATCAGGAAAGGAGGGGGCCTCCCTCTCTGAACCACTGTGCTGGCTATGTTTCCACCAGTGTTCAGTAAAACTAACTTTAGTGCCAAGCCCACTTCACCTCAATGGGAACTGCTAAGATCAACTGCCCAGGAACAAACAGTCACCCCAAAGGTGCTCTGAAGCCCCCTCCGGAGCCCCAAGCTCAGATGCTGCAGTAGCTCCCTTCAGGCTTGGCAAGGTCTAGAGCTTGGAGTCTGCATGCATAAAAACGTGCTCCAAACTCCAGATCGATCCTGGATGCTGAAAAAGAGTCTTAATCACATTCCGTGCCAAGATGGAGTTTAGCAACAGTGAGCCCCAGGCACACTGCAGAGGTCTTTGTTTCAGATAACAGCTTCCGTTCCCATCTCTGGCTGCCTCTCATTACCGAACTGGAGCCACAGAGGGACCAAAGAGCTAAACTGGAAGCTGGCCAGCATCATCTTCAGAAAAATACTGCAGGATACAGCTAACTCTTGAGACCTAATGAGCATTGTTTCCCAAGTTCTAGGATTCTTCCTAATTTCCTGTTTAGAGATAAACTTCCTCTTTAATAAAAAGTGGAAAGAGGAAGAAAGTCAACACAGGAAGGGTCTCATGTGCCCTGAACTCTGCTAATGCCTAATAAATACCATCTATATGTGACTCTTGGGGGCTCATTATTAGATTGTCCCCATTCACAGACAGAAAACATGAGGTTCAGAGGAGATGAGACACTTGCCCAAGGAGAAGGTAGGCAGCATGGGGGTGCGGTCAGATCATATCCCCAGGACCCTCCTAGCTTTCAGGTACTTCCCATTGCATGGAGATCCTGCCACACCCTCACGGCTTGGTTGTGTCTACTACCTTAGACTGTACTGACAGCAAGCACTTCCTTTCTATCTCTGATCCCAGCGTGCCCTGCACAGTCTGTGCCTGGGAAGCACCTGCTTGGCTGGTTGGGTGGAGAGGGTCAGAAACACGGCGGTCAAGACAGTACAACTGTGAACCATCCACTTTTCCTACCGTCTAGCTAAGGGCCACAGAATCCAAGGAGAGGGAGAGGAAGAAAGCTCTTTCCTAGGCTTCACCTCAGGCAATGTCTCCCTGGCTGAACCTCCTCTAAGTAGGCAGTCTGTTCATCTCCCAGGGCACAAGAATTGAGCATCCTTGGACCCCCAAATAAGGAGACCTTATTAAAAAAATAGAAGGCCTGGGGATGCAGAAACGGCTCAGTGGTTATGAGCACATACACCTAAACTTCCTGTCATAACCTCTCACTCATCAATATGTGTGACACACATGTGTGCAGGCACACATACAAGCATGTGTAAGTGGATGGGGGCCAGAGGTTGATATTTGATGTTTTCCTTGATCACTTTACTCTTCATATATAGAGGCAGAGTCTCTTGAACCCAAGGCTCCATGGTGAGGCTGGTCTACCTAGCCAAATGCTCCAAACCTCCTGTGTCTCCCTCACATGTGCAGGTGCTGAGGTTACAGGTGGACAGCCATGCTCACCCTGCACTTATGTGGGTTTACGGGTGGACAGCCACGCTCATTCTGCACTTACATGAGGTTACAGGTGAACAGCCATGCTCACTCTGCACTTATGTGGGGTTACAGGTGGACAGCCATGCTGGCCCTGCACTTATGTGGGGTTACAGGTGGTGCTAGGGATCTGAAATCTGGTTCTTGCTCTTGTGCAACAAGAGCTTTATCCACTGAGCCATGCCCCCCCATCACTTTTGAGTCAGGGCCTTACTATGTGCCCCCAGAGAGCCTTGAACTCTCAACTTACCTGCCCCACCTCCAACTGCTGGAACTACAAGCTGTGCCATCATGCCTGGATATCATCTCTTAATAAATCCAGGCTGGTGGGATCTTTGCTGAGAACTACAATCTAAATGTTGTCTGCCGAAGACTCCTGACCAAGGGGTACACATACTGTAGGAATCCGTTTTCAGAAAGTTCAAAGTGTAATAAATGCCTCCTGTGAGTTGAGGGAAGTTCATGTGTGTGTATGTGTTCACTTTGTGAGTGCTTGGATCATACATTTCATGATTTCAGTCATTATCTGTATGTGGTTATGCACTAATCAATACATTGTTTTGAGGGAAAAAATCACTCTCTTCAAAGACAAAGAACCTATACTTTCTGACTGATTGCAGTATCTAACCCCTGTGTGTTGACCAAAGACTAAAAAAAGAAAAAAAAATGAATGAAAAAAAAATCTGCCACCCAAAGAGCCCGTTTCCTTACATCAAGTGGTTTTTCACCGTTTTCAAGTCCAGTGCTGTTTCTTCAGCTATAACATTCAGCTGATTTCAGTTAGGGAATAATCAAGTCCCTCAAAGTCCCTCAACAATATCTGAATGGGGTCAATTTGCCTGTGGACCCACAAGGAAGGGCATAGCAAACCAATAGCCTTCCAGGTCCCACTTAGAGGATAGCAGGGAAGTCAAGGAATGTTCTCCATTACACAGTGGTGCTGGGGAGGTTTAGGGGGTGGGGTGGGGGCTTTCCAGGCATCTCACTCCACCGGAGCAGATTAATAAGCACTCTCCTTGGGGCACTGAGAAAATGAGCCAGAACCTTACAGGTCATTCTTTACAAGTGAAATACACAAAGGGACTTAGCCAGCTCCCCTCCAACAGGAAATCATTTGTCTCTAGAGGATGGAGAATGAGGGAGAGGAGGGGAGGAGGAAGAGGAGTGGGAGGAGGGGGCAGAGGAGAGGGAGAGGAGGAAGGGAAGGAGGGAGAAGGGAGGAGGGATGGAAGGATGCTGAGTCTGCCACCAGGCCCAGCTCTGGGGAGATGATGCTCCCTAATCAAAACACAGTTGCACAAATAGAGTCCCCTCCTCCTGAGAAAAAAGAAAAAGAAAACAAAACATTTGTTTAAATGGGGACTGAACAACTCTGATTAATTTTAAAGTTCTTTTTCCACTTTCCTTTTTAGAATGTAGCTAAAAATAAAGGCTTAAAACTTGAAACAAGTAAGCAGCACACACACACACACACACACACACACACACACACACACTGGGCTTTTACCATATACGGTGGCCTTATTCTTCAGCCTTTGAAAAGGCCAAATGAAGAGGTGGCCAACAACCAAAATAACCCTTCAGACAACTGCAAAGGAGGGGAAAGCTTGGAGGCTTAGTGAATGGCAAGCAATTGCCAGGCTCGCCGGGGATGAATGCCCATCGAGGGATGAGTTGCCATAGCACTTGGGAAACATAGGCACATGCATCTGACACAGTCACCCCTCTAGGGAGGGTGTTCTGCCCTCTGGCCTCAGCACTGAGAAAGCAACAGAGGCTGCAATTTAACTTAAAGGAAGGAACCAGTGCGGGAGCATGACTGAAAATTTAATTAAGACCCTCCTCAACATGAAATTGGTAAGAGAGATGAGGATCAGGCTCCAGGGCAGGAAAAGAGGCAGAACGAGCTGGAGGAGATGTGATTGAGAGCAACCCAGGTCGGCCTGGAAGCCAGCAGTACTGTGTGCGGCAGGGGAGGGGTGACCGCTGTATTGCCAGGCCCTGCTGCGAATGTGTCTGTGGAAAAAGACTGACATGTTCAGATCATACAGATGCCGTACTTGGGTGCCTTGAGTATGGTTTCCAAAGCCAAGGCAGAGGTATTCCTGGACCCTGGCTAAAGCACCTACTTTCCTGACCTGAACAGGCTAAGACAGAGGAAAGCAGGCTTAAGACAGGAGGTGGTGCAGGCAAGAGAGAAGGAGCAGAGCAGCAGGCTGAGGCACCAAGGTGCAAGTCTCTGCCCACAGACGCTCTGAAAGAACTCCAGTCACGCCCAAAGTCTGGGCTTGGAGCACAGCTTCACTAACTCTCCACAATGGTGGGCTAGCTCCTCCTTCTGCTGACTCATTCTCACTGGGAAACACCAGGCACAGGGGCCGGGCGGCTACTCTGTGGCAGAGCACATGTTTGGTATGCATAAGGCCCAGGAGTTTCATCCTAGCACCAAACAAACAAATTTGTCAGGCAGGATCTGCACTGAAGGGACAGTTCCCCAAATGTCACACTAAACTGCCCTCATTTTCCCAAAGGCAGCATGCTGACTATGAGATACAGCACCCATGGCTTCGTTCCAGCATCTTCCTTTTCATCCTCAGGCATGGACCCCGCATGATGTCAAAAGGCCCTGTTTCTGGGTAACATGGCTAACAGTCTGTTCATGCTTGCCCAGAAAGGCTTCCTGCCCAGGTAGGGCACTGGGCACTGCAGGCTAGTCAGCTACTCTACACCCACTGGGCTGGCACCCATCAGCCTGGCCTACCAAGGAGTAGCTCAGTGGGATTTGTAGACAGAAAAACAAGGCCCTGACACCGGGCCAAGGAAGGCCAACTGAACCATGCCTGGCTGTCCCAAAGCCTGTCCCTTCTTTTTCTCCTGCGTGGTGGAGTCTGGTCAGCAGCTCTACATCAAGGTCAGGCAGTGCCATGGGCTCATTTCCTCCCAGCAGGACCTCAGAACAGGACAGTTTCCAGCTCATATGGCCCCTCTGAAGCCTCAGCTGCAGGAGTTGTGGGGCGACCCCACCTTCTACTCCACCAGAGGATTGATGCAGGTCCACAAGTTCATTTCCAAATCACTCACCTGGTGAGGCACAAGTCCCAGAGAGGTGGGAGGTTCATTCATGCGGTCGTCACTGCTGCTGGCGATGGCGTAGCCCCTGCAAGAGGGAAGCAGGAGGGCTCTCAGCTCACGCGTGCTCACATGAGCACAGGAGAGAGCATCTCGGGGCACTGAGAAGAGTTAGAACCAAAACCCCTTGGCTGGGCTTCATAACTAGCAGGAAACTTGTTCCATGGGAGGGAGGGAGGGAAAGGCAGTCATTGAAGAACGGGCACTGTGGAGTGGGAAAGATGAGAGCGAGCTTGTAGTGTCTCTAACCAAGCAGCTTAACCATTAGCTGTGAAACAGGAGGAAGGGGGCTGTATGATACAACAGGGGCTTCTGAGATAAACTGCCAAGAGCAAGGCTTGTTTCCTTCCCCTCCCTCCCTCCCTCTCTCTCTCTCTCCCTCCCTCCTTCCCCCTCCCTCCCTCCCTCTCCCTCCCTCCCTCCCTCCCCCTACCTCCTTCCTTTCTCATGCTTTCACTAAGTAGTGAAGGCTAGCCTTAGCTCCTGGCTTGAACTATCCTCCAGCTCAGCCTTGTATATCCCCACACCCTCCTCTCACCTGCTGAACTGATCTAAATGCCATAGACACCAAGGAAGGAGAACTACAAGGAGTGAAGTAGGCAGAAGTAATGGGCTCCTCTCCAGAGAGAGGCCATACTCATTTGTACCCCAGAAGAACTGCTTTTTTAACCTGTTACCAGGGCAAAGGGGGGGGGGTAAGTTGGGATCAAGGAGGTGTGGAGTGGTGTAGGTGTAGGTGATAGGAAGAAACCTGGGTGGCAGAGGAGGCAAAGGCAGGGGAGGATGTAACCGCTCATTCCCCCTTTATGCCTTGTCTGCTAACTGCTGAGGCCCCCCGAGTCATGTGACAAACAGACTACTGCTGTGGCCTTCTGTATTGCCTTTCTTGGAATTCAATTTGGATGAAAAATAAGTATTTTCTAAGCTCTTTTCTCTCCATGGGCACTACAAATGGCAGACTTAGCACAGCACTCCAAAGCCACAGCCTGACTGTCACCCACTAGCCATTTGAGTCTCAGACGCTCAGCCTAGCTTCCTCATCAGAAATAGGACTAAGAAGACAGGTGAGATGGCATGAACTTAATGTTGGCACTGGGCAGACTGAGGACCGCCCTGAGTGGGAGGGGCTGTGTGAATTCAAGGCAAGCCTGGGATACACAGTGAGACTCTGTCCAAAAAGAAGAAAACCAAAAGCAACTACTAGTTTTCCCCTAGTAAGTTCAATAGGGGACTGAAGAGGTCGACAGCACAGCGTTCTTGGGGCAGGGCTTTGCACAAAGTTGTGAGAAATGAACGGCTGCATCTGTAGCCGAGTGTGGGCACCTGTTTGCCCTCAGCCAAAACCGTAAGTTCAGTGGAGAATAAGAGCTGTGTGAGGGAGAACATACGGAAAGTCTAGACCTGAAATGTAACAACGGGGCTGAAAACCTTGGGGATCTTGACCTTTGCCAGGCACAGATAGGAAAGCATGAGCCAGCGTGGTGGATGAGCAACAGAAAACAATGGGCTGAAGCCAGGGAAGACAGGATGCAGTGGGCCAGACAGAGTGCAGGTCAGAGTCTTAGGAAGAGCACGGAAGACAAGAGACAGGAAAGAGTGCTGTTCTAGGGGACAGTGCAGAGAGTTTACACTGCAGACAGCACTCACTACGCTGGAGATGCCAGAAGCTGCAGAAGGCTAAAATGAGCTAGAGCAGGGAGACTGCCCCAAAGTCACTGTGGGAAGACCACTGGGAGATAGTAAAAGGGACAAGAGATGACCCACGGGGACCTGAGAGACAGGAGCTAGACCTGGGGCACAGTGGTAACGAGTACCTGCCTAGTATTCAGGAATGATGGGGGTGGGGGAAAGAAGGAGGAAGAAAAGAAGGAGGGGGAGGAGGAGAAGGAGGAATAGGAGAGAGGGAATATACTAGTCTAAAATTGCATCAGACAAACGAAAACTGAAATGCTTAAGGGAATTCTACAGGTAGAGCCACAAGTTTGGAAACAGAGGAAGAATTGAAAACTGTTAGCAAAACTAAATGAATACTAACCATGTAAAATATCTTCTGGGATTTATTTATTTATTTATTTATTTATTTATTTATTTGTTTGTTTGTTTGTTTTGGGTTTTACCAGACAGGGTTTCTCTGTATTGTTTTGGAGGCTGTCGGTCCAGCCCCGCCTCGAACTCACAGAGATCTGCCTGCCTCTGCCTCCCGAGTGCCGGGATTGAAGGCGTGTGCCACCACCACCGGCCTGGGGTTTAAATATTAAAGAATTTTCAAAAATAAATGTGAAGGCACTGCTGGTTATCTAGCCAACATTAGGTCTCCTCTTCTACCTCTCACAACCTCATTCAGGGAGGCAACAGGCCCAGCTGACAAAGCTAGATTTCTTAGCACTCCTTCCTAGGTGATTCAAAGGATGTGTTTTCTGGAAAGGGTCTGTATCACCAAGGCAGCTGTTGGCAAAATAGAACTCAAGGAGAAAGTGGCTGGCCCACTGTCCACGGCTGCCATGACAGGAAAGCACTGGCTGCCATCAGGGCTAGGAGCACAGGAAACAGTGGTCTCGGGACTATGCAACCAGAACAGCATCTGTGTGCTGATAATGAGCCCGGTGGTCTGCAGAGTGGGGAGGCTGCACTCGGGAAATCCAAGCTAAGAACTGCAAGGGCATGCCGTGTCATGGCTGCCAACGGCCCTGTGCTTTGCCTGCTATGGACTGAAAACTGCAACAAGTAGGAACCAGCTACACTCGGGATCAACGGGGAAGGCACCAGGCCTGCAATGCTCCATGATCTCTAGTCAGCCCTGGGAAGACAGGAAGGGTGGGGGCCATCCTCCCCAGGGCGTCCCTAGGAAATGGATATGCTAGAGAAGCCAGGCTGGAACTGGGGACAGGCAAGGGCTCTGCGGGGAGGGCTGCGGTTCTGGACAAGCAGCTGATGGCAAGACAGGTGCTCAGGTTGAACAGGAGGAGGGACATGCAAACCAATCAAAAACCTTTTTAAAATTAGATTCCAATAGTGACAAATGTCCTATTTGTGATACTTGACCCTGGCAGCAGGTGAAAGAGCCACGGACCTGATGTTACCTGTGACGTTTCATATGGATTTTGTTCATTCTGTAGTTAAAAGATGCAGTGTTGTTTTAAGTTGTAGTCATCTGAATGGGCTCCCCGGAGAAGAGTAACAAAGGGGCCCTACTGCTCACTGCTGACCTATCACTGACTGATGGATGTTGGGAGGGAGGAGGCACAGGGCACAGAGCATACCCACTGCTGAGCTCAGCAGGCTCCAGTGCATAGCCGAAAGCCCACGGTCACACAGCTGGCCCTGGCCAAACTCGGTGGGCCACCAAACAAAACAAAAAGCCATGTATATGAGAGAGAGAGCTGTAGGGCAGAGGAGCGAGACAGGCAGTGATGGGAGGGAGAGTAATCAGCGCGGTAACCATGCTAAACACACAGATCTATTAATTAAAAATAAAAAACAGAAAATTGACAGGAGTTCCTTTGTCTCAGGTCCCATGGCTTTTAGTTTGCTATTAAAATAAATGCTTAATTGCCTGTGAGTAGGCACTGTCACATGGATGTGACAATGGAGAGCACAGCAGCACCGTGTGCCCACAGGTGAGGGGGACTCAGTGGCATATGCTCAGCCTCTGGACCTACCCTGGACTGTGGACTTGGAACTTTATTTGGCCAAGTCTCTGGACACGGAATTCAGTCACAGGCATCTGATACAACTCCTAACGCCAGTGACACATTATATGGTATACACATTATACAGTCATATACACATATAGACATAGTATATACAGTCACAATGTCCAGGGTTAAGAAAACCACAATAGACTAACATAAGACTGAATGCCTCTGCCAAGTCTTCCTAATCAGATGCCAAAAAAACTCACAAGAATTCAAGAAGGGCACAGGGCATACCCCAGAGATCATATGCCAAAGAATTGGACTAGATTTTTTTTTGTCTTGTTTTGAGGTCAGAAAAGCCAAGAGAGCCTGAAGGAGTCAGTGCCCAGCAATTACTGATACGCACTCAGTCCAAACATTCATCTCTGGGCTGCAGACTCACCCCTCAGGATGCTGCAGGACAGACACCATCAGCTCCACAGCCAGGGCACCCGCAATCACGGCCAGGCCTGGGCGGCTCACTGTGCACTGCTGGTCCAGCGTCCGGTCTCTGGTTGACTAAAGAGAAACAACCACTGACACATGTAGAATATTGTAGTCCAGGCAGCCCTAGAGAAACCTGAAACTCCCCATGATAAAGATGAAATTACAACCAGATTGGTACAGCTGACAAAGGCCTTCCAGCCTCACCCCACTGTGTCTTGGGAGGATCATAATAAACAGAACAGAGTATGTAATTAAATGAGACAATCCGCTGAACAGGATGCACACTGTCAGGAGACATAGATGGGGACACTGACCATCAGTGGCATGGCCTCATGGTGGCTCCGCACCGAGTGTCCTGTGGAGGAATTCATCCCTCTCTTGTACTTAGTAGATGAGATGTTGAGTCACAGGGAGGAATAATCGTGAGTAGCTGGTGACCCTGTCCTGCCATTTTCCCTGAGGTAATGACTCAGTGACCCTGATTGAGGAAGGAGCCACAATCTCTGCTTTGCTGCCCTCTGTTCCTGCACACTGCCTTGTCATCTTGACTAGTCTGAGGACTTAACTGCAAAACTGCAAGCATTTGTTACAACCTGACTCCACACACAAGTTGTCACTGGGTCAACCTCACAAATTCTAACCTTCCAAATGGGACAAATCCTGAGGCTATTTGATACTATAACAATTTCATGGACTGAAAAGACATGGCTGTCCTGCTTGAGGCCTCAACTCTGCTTGATGGCAACCCCTGACCTATAGGACAAGCAAAAGCCAGTGGTTTCAGAGAGAGGCCTGGTTTTATAATAGCAGAAGGGGAAACAGGGCAGTTGTCCCATCATGTCCCCCGATCCCTACCTCGAGGAATGCCTGTTCTGGCAGGCTCACTAGGCCTCCTGGAGAACCCAGCTGGAGGCACTCCTGGCTGCCTCACATTCCACCTGCTCAGCACTGAGCATGCTCAGGACAGGTGGGCTGCCTCTTCTGTTTTTTTTTTTTTTTTTTTTGGTTTTTCGAGACAGGGTTTCTCTGTATTGTTTTTGAGGCTGTCGGTCCAGCCTGGCCTCGAACTCACAGAGATCCGCCTGCCTCTGCCTCCCGAGTGCTGGGATTAAAGGCGTGCGCCACCACCGCCCGGCAAGGGCTGCCTCTTCTAGATTGTCAGATTAAATACATCAGGAATGGTTAAGAGTTCAATTTCAGACAAACAACAAATATTTTTATTCTTAGCAGTTCTTGAATACTGTAAGAGGCATACTTATATACTTAAAAAAAACAAATCAAATCAAACCAAACCAAAAGGGTACTTGGTGTTTACCTGAAATGCAGTTGCATGACAGTGTGACAGGCCTGTGCCCTGCCCTGCCCTGTTCTGCAAAGTCACAGGGAAGAAGAGGCCTTCTGGATCACTGAGGAGACAGCAGAAGGCCTGGACCGGAACCTGGGGCTTTTAGTCTCTCGTATATGGGGCTCTTTCTAGAGCTCTTTCTATAAGGGACCAGCTATGCAGAAGTTTCCTTACTCAGCTTCTGTCAGATGGCCATTCAGGAAAGAGTACCATTCACAACTCATGGTGGGATAACACCACCCACCCCAACTAGAGATTGCTCTTTACTAGACAATCTTTAAACAGCCATGCGGGACAGGACCCTGCTGCAGCACATGGAATACTGAATAGAGCTGCTTGAAACCACAAAACTTGACTTACATCTCCTGGAGCCACCACGTCATTGCAGAAATAGCAGCCAAGCTTGTATCCAGGGATGTTAGCAAAAAGCGAGGAGCCCAGGTCAGCAGGTGCCAGAAGGTGGCTTGGGCACAGGTCCCCAGCGCCCTGCTGCTTGGGTTTCTTCAGGCCGTGTCTCATGACAACAAAGGTGTCAAACCCCAAGGCAGCATTGATGACCAGCTGTTAGCATTGAAGGAATAAAAGGGGGTCAGGACAAACACACTTCAGACCAAGACTAAGTTCACATGCAGCTACCTTTAAATTGCTTTCCTTTTCATGTGAGTGCAACTAGACTTTAATAGCCAATTGAAACCTGTGAGAGAATTGATAAACTGCTAACATAAACCATCTCATTTAAAACCCCTACAAGCATTGCCTTTTGATAGACAAGAATACTGAAGGTCATGCAGCTGATGGGAGAGAGGTTGGCGGGTGCCAGCACCACTCTGCCCTGTCCTTTCAGTTCCTTGCAGAATTTTACTGAGACACCATTTGTAAATCATGATTTGCCCCCCATGTGGGTTTTTAAGAAAAACCTTCTTCATTTGTATTGTAAGAACTTCTCTTGGTTGTGATTTAAGTTGTTCTCCCAAACTTTTGGTCACATACAAAGTTAGAAAGAATCAAGAAAAGGCATGCTGGAGAAGAAAATAAGAGAAAATAAAAAACCACTCCTGATACAGCTCTGAGGGCTCCAGTAACTGCTGGGGTATTGCCTCTTGTATCTCCTCTCCTCTTCCCTTTTGCCTCAAACACAATAGACAGAAAATAGACAGATGATAGGTGACAGATGATTGACAGACAGATGAGGGGTGAATTGTGGTAGAGGCAGACATGCATGTCTTTATATGGACATATAACATTAAAGATTCATATACTATTTTATCTCATAAAATGGTATTTTCTTATTACCATTCTTTGAAAACCTCCCTGAGAGTGAGAGTAAAGCATCCTATGACATGAGCCTTGACCTCTGTATGTACCAACAGCAACACCTGCAAGGATTGCTAAGACAATAGTGAGGACACCCACGCTGGGTGACGGTGTGAGGTAAAGAGGCCCTACAGGACCACACAGGTCCCCCTCCTCCCTGGGGCAGGGTGGGTTATGGCTGCAGGACCACACAGGTCCCCCTCCTTCCTGGGGCAGGGTGGGTTATGACTGCAGGACCACACAGGTCCCCCTCCTCCCTGGGGGAGGGTGGGTTATGGCTGCAGGACCACACAGGTCCCCCTCCTCCCTGGGGGAGGGTGAGTTGTGGACACTTCTCTCTTGGGTGGCTCACTAAGCTCTAGACAGAGGCAGCAAATAGCACACTCCACCTTCCGCTTGCTGGCGGCAATTACAGCAGGAAGCCACCGGCTCTCTCTGGTGTCCATTAGCAGGAAGATGACATCATGGCTCTCAATTAGTTGTTCTAGCTGCTCCACATCTCTGCGTGCCTGCTCCAGTGTGACGTCAGAGAAATTCACAGGATGTCCTGGCATCGGGATGCTCATGTTGAACCCGCTGGCATTCTAGGGAGTCAATGGGCACACATACCACTTTCAACCAGGAATTTCTCTGTGCACAGTGCTACTACTGCTTTTTCCCTCCGATACTTGGGCCTGTGCTCTCTCCACCTTCTCCATTTCCTTGAGCCCTCTGTGTGTGTGTGTGTGTGTGTGTGTGTGTGTGTGTGTGTGTGTGTGTGTGTGTGTGTTGTGGTACTGAGGATAGAACTCAGAGCCACAGGTATAACACAGCCAGGGATGTTCATTTTCCACAGAAAGCAAACTGTGCCAGGATCACAAACTGCACCATAATCTCCTGCATGCCACTGGCCACAGGCAAGTGTGATAACACAGGCTTTCCCAGAGTTGTCTCAACACAGACTGGAAAGATGACTGCAGGGGGTAGGCAGCAAGTCAGCAAAGGCTCAGGAACTAAGTGGCAGAGCTCAGGTTCAAGGCAACATCTGCACGGGCTGTGCTGGCTCTCAGTCCTCTCCAGTGCCAGACTGGACTGTTCTCCCAGGTGGGCATGCCTGTCCAACCTAGGGTACAAGGACCGATCTTTGCCTTCTTCCACAGAACTTTGCAAGCGTCCCACTGTGAAGACAGCGTATACTGCCAGGTGCTTCTGAGTCTGGGCTTGGCACAGTGACTTGCCTGAGCAATGGGAAGAGAGGGTGGTGTACTGGTCTGAGGCTGACCTGAGACTCTCTAGTCAAAGAACTGTAGGACCAGGAGACTGTGGCTCCCTACCCTACCTTCCATTTTGAAACAATCACATGTGGAGCAGACTGGAAGCTGAGTTCAGGAGTCTTGTCTATCAGTCAACATAGCCAGCCTGCATATCTGTGGTGTAGCCTTGCAGCTGGATTCCACTGAGATTTGGGAATTGTGAGATAAGCCACACTATGCCAGCAGAGACCTGACTAATGTCTCAATGGTGGGGCTGTGGCTACCCAACAATAGCTGGGTACACAGTGCATACTCAGTCAATGCTATGGAATTCCACTCAATAAATGATGTTCCGGGTAGCGCTTGTGGAATAAAACCATCAACAACAGATCGATATTGAAAGGCTAAAGGAGGAAACTTTTGAAAGACAGGCTTTCCTATGGCTGGGGCTGAGGGTGCCACTTGTGGCACTGTAAGTACAAACAGAAGCCTCAAAGATCGCTAACATGTCTCCTGTCAGGTACAATGACCATGTATTCTACTGGTAGACTCGTACTGAAAGACTTAAAACACATCTCCAAACTTACTTGTATTGAAGTGAGTTGAGTGCACTGGCTAGTGCTGGTCAATTAGAACCTCAACTGAGGAATTGCCTCCATCTGGCTAGCCTGTTGGCACATCTGTAGGCCATTCTCTTGATTGAGGATTGATGTGGGAAGGCCCATCTTCTTACTATGGGTGCTGCTACTCTGGGCAGGTGGTTCTAGGGTATATAAGGCTGAGCAAGTCAGGGAGCGGGTCCCTCCATGATTTCTGCCTCTGTTCCTGCTTGAGTTCCTGACTTCTCTCAGTGATGGATGGTGATCAGGATGTGTGAGCCACATAAACCCATCCCAGATGGTTCTATTCAGCAAAGTAAGACGGTGAGTGACATGTCTTTCTTCGGTATTTCTATAGTAGTGTAAATGGTGTGACTCAAAAATAGCAGGAGGTATGGCAGAGAAGTCAACTTCCAGCCAGCCTTTCTTCTACACAGAACCATGGTCAGCACAACTTCATGAGCGTGCTAGGCAGCCATCATGCGGTCCAGTGACAGACTAAAATGAATAGCCTACATCTTCACCACCAGAGCTCCCTTTACAGTCAGGCAGGGTGAAGACAGCTCCAAAAGTCACTTCCTCACCCCTTCTTCATTGATTCCTACTGTGAGGGAGGCACTTCCTGTGCAGTGCTGGGGTGGGCAGCATGTTGGCTAAGCAAACACTTTACCACTGGCCTACAGCTCAGCTCGGGTTGCGCTGTAGTTTTCTTTGTTTTGTTTTGCATGCATATGCATGTGTGTTGGCATGGGCGTGGAACTACTATGTGTAAGTATGACGCATGTGCATGCAGATGCGCAGGCACCATGGTGTGTATGTGGAGGTCCGAGGGTCACCTCAGATGGTTGCCCTCACCTTCCACCTTGTTTGAGCAGGGTCTTTGGTTGTGGTTTGCTGCTGCACATGTAAGATTAGCTGACTGGCCAGCTTCTGGGGACTCTCCTGTCTCTGCCTCCTTTCTCGCCATGAGAGCACCAGGATTACACACGCATACTCATGCTTGGCTTTATATATATATTTATATATATATATTTTTTTTTGAGGATTCAAATGCAAGTGCAAGCATGGTATCCAATGACTCTTCTCCTCAATACTTTTGTAGTGTTTCTAAAAGGCTATCCCCAAGTGGAGGCAGCAGACCTGGTCATATGATGCCTGTCTGGTAGGAAATAACACATCTGATTCCCACTCACCAATTCTACAGAGCCTCATGCCCCAGGATCCCCAGGATTTAAACATTTACAGAGTTTACAAGAGAAAAAAACATGGATGTATCCCCATATCATCAACATACCACTCCGGGAAATATTTTCTGGAGCCGCTCTGCTGCAGCCAGGGCCTTGGGCTTGCCACCCGCAAGACAATCTTCAAATTCATACAGAGGCTGTCTCACAGGGTTGGAGTAGGAGATCTTGGCGTTGTCCACAAATGTGACATGTCTGACGCCCCAGCCCTGCATGGAAACAGGATACCATACTCCTGATGAGCATGTCCCAGCACACATTTCTAAAGTCTCTAAGAAGGGTTTTGTTGCTAAGCAGCTGGGCATCTTAAAATACAGGAAACTGCAGAAACTGAATTGTACACATTCAATTTTTGATCATTAGAATGTCCACTTTTTAAAAGACAGTGTAATGATATGCCAGGGCCTAGATTCCCAGTCATTAGGCCAGGAAGTATCAGTAATTCTTTCACAGTGTGTTATTCTTGACAGTGCCACCGGGAAGACTGTGCGTGAATGCTAGAACTCTACTGTGTTGTTTCAAGGTTAGCAAGCACCCCAAGATGTCTTTGGCTTCTCTTAATGAGTAATTAAGTATAAATATTAGCTCCTCTGGAAACTCATTTTGGATCTCAGTTAACTCCAGAAAAATGACCATCAAGTCGTCCCCATGTGAAATAAGAACACTCTGAGTATCTCTCCACACTGGAGAAACCTTGCTTCTAACCCAGCCTAACAAGACGAACCTGTGTTTTAGTGCAAGTTGTCATGATGTCATGGACAATTTCATAAATGAGAACATTTCTGGAAAACTTATTTAAAGATTTTTTTATTTTATGCATAGTGTTTTGTCTTCACATGTCTAAGTACATACATGTAATGCCCAAGGAGTCCAAAAGAGGGTGGGGGTTTACTGGAGCTGGAGTTACATGCTGTTATGAGTTGCATGTGGGTGCTGGGAATTGAACACAGGTTTTCTCCAAGATTAGCGGTCCTAACCTCTGAGCCATCTCCTCAACCCCTATATTTCTAGTTAGACTAGTAAGTTACAAAGAAAACTTTTTATAAATATAAATGAACAGATAGTGACAAGGCCTGTGAATGGCCTCTATTTCCTTCAGCAAGGACCACTCCTGGCATCAGTGGGAACATCCTAATGTATGAAATCTCACTACTTGTGGGAAGGGGACTGGGCTGGGACTGGAGGGGTATCCTCTGCTTCTGTCTCACAAAGACTACAGATTGCTCTTAGAAGCACAAAGATACTGAGGAGAGCAAAAAAGAATGGGGGGGAGGCACAAGGGAATCTGGGAGATGGAAGGCAATGGTGCTGGAAAACAGGCACAGCTGTACAGCTGCACAGGCCCCAAACTCACCATCAGGGTCCTAGCCACATTACACCCCAGGGTGCCAGCTCCCAGCAGCAGGCACTTGACAGACACAACCTTGTCCAAGTCCAAGGTAGGGACCAATCGCCAACACATCAGCTTGAGATTCAGATCCACGGATGACTCAGCCAGCCTAGAAAACAAGAGATTGATGTGCTGGTGAGTCATTTGAATGAAAAAAAGAAATAAAAAGGAAAGGACATGACAGCTCCTAGGTATGGTAGAGGAGGAAGTTTATTGCAGATAAAAGAGAGCACAGCCAGCCGGGCGTTGGTGGCGCACGCCCTTAATCCTAGCACTCGGGAGGCAGAGGCAGGCGGATCTCTGTGAGTTTGAGACTACCAAGCGAGTTCCAGGACAGCCTCCAAAGCCACAGAGAAATCCTGTCTCGAAAACTCGAAAAACCAAAAAAAAAAAAGAGAGCACAGCCAGAGGCAGGGACATATGGGATAGTTAGAGTGAGCATGACCAGACTGAGCTAGGCCAGCTGAGGAGAGAGGTGGGAGGGAGAGCAAGAGAAGAGGCACTTAGGAAGAGTGACAGCTTGGGCCACGAGACTGGCACACGTGTGGTGGGAAAGACGCCCTCCGCCCCTGGAGACAAGGGAGCTGGCCCTCCCCTTACAGCTGCACCACTTGGGAAAGTGGACCCTGCACCTCACTATAGATGGGTGAAGGTGAACAGGCCTGAGAACGTGAGCTTGGGAGGCCCCACCCCTCATCTGCCATATGGTGGTATGAGCTGGGGAGAGATTCCCCCCCCCTTGCCTGTGTCGAGTAGGAGAGCTGTCCCTGCCCCTCACCAGCTGTAGCTGGGGCAATGCTGGAGATCTTACCCTGGTGGTGAGGGCAGGGAGAGCTGGCGGGATGACCAACTCTACAACTTTCTAGGCCTAAATTGAGGAGTTGCCCCACTCCAATATCCACCCCATCTATGATCTGCTGGAGCTCATGAAGGGGCTGGTCCTGTAGACCTCAAACTGCAAGACCCAGGGTAACAGGATATCCAAGAGGAGTCCCAGTGAGGGCCCACTATTAACAGGGTAGCAGAAACCAGAGGCCTAGAACCAGGCCAATGACTCTGCAAGGATCACTTGCAGGTAAAGACATATGGACTAAAGGGTAAATCATGTGACTCACTGTGTTACACTACAGCTTCCGTGACCAGATTTTTCTTTTCTTTTTCTATTTATTTTATTTTATCTGGGGGGGGGGTTGCAAGTGCAGATACAAAGGGACAGGGAGATGAATGGGATCGAGATGCATGATGTGAAAGACACAAAGAATAAATAAAAAGAAATAAAAAAAAACACAGAGAGACTGGCATAGTCAAAATGGCTGGATTACATAGGGAAGGGCAGCCCAGCCCCTGGGATGGAGAGTTCAGGGTGGAGAGTGGAATATGTCAGTCATACGCTGTAACAGGTAGGGACTGAGGGATGCTGGGAGAACCTGGGGGCCAGGTCTGCTTTGATGTGTTAATGGGTACCTCAGTCATTTGACCCAGGTTGAGACCTAACACATTCACATGTGCTGCAGTCTTAGTTTCTAAGACAGACATGATGCGTGGGGAGGAAACATGATGGGACTAATTAGGCAATCAGAATCAGAGTAAAGTAAGATGAAGCTCATAGGCAACAGAGAGGAGAAAGGTTACCACACAGAAAGCATGCCACTGTCCTCTGCAATTGCTGGGGTGGGCCAAAGTTCCTATGTGGCGCTCTAACAGCAAGGTGAAAGGGAAAGTCAGAGCAGTCCCGAGCTGCTCTATCAGCTTAAAGAATGGCTCTTCCGAGAATGGAAAACTCTCCCAGATCTTAGAAAAGGGTAGCAGATTGTCATCCTCAAAAGTGGTGTGACCTCCACAAATCAGTGTTCCTCATAATATCCTTCAGGGATGGCAAGTAGGACCAAGGTCTGCAGCCATGAACGAAGAACTAGAAAGAAGGCAGAGGCAGGTGGATCTGTGAGTTCCAGGCCTGCCAGGACGGCATAGTAAGACTCTCTAAACAACAACCATAAAACTAGAAAGGGCAGTAGTGAGGTCCAGGTGTCTGAGAGTCTGCACTGGAAACTAGAAAGGGCAGTGGTGAGGTCCAGGTGTCTGAGAGTCTGCACTGGAAACTAGAAAGGGCAGTGGTGAGGTCCAGGTGTCTGAGAGTCTGCACTGGAAACTAGAAAGGGCAGTGGTGAGGTCCAGGTGTCTGAGAGTCTGCACTGGAAACTAGAAAGGGCAGTGGTGAGGTCCAGGTGTCTGAGAGTCTGCACTGGAAACTAGAAAGGGCAGTGGTGAGGTCCAGGTGTCTGAGAGTCTGCACTGGAAACTAGAAAGGGCAGTGGTGAGGTCCAGGTGTCTGAGAGTCTGCACTGGAAACTAGAAAGGGCAGTGGTGAGGTCCAGGTGTCTGAGAGTCTGCACTGGAAACTAGAAAGGGCAGTGGTGAGGTCCAGGTGTCTGAGAGTCTGCACTGGAAACGAGAGTGGAGAAGCCGTGCATGCCTCAGGATGCCCGCCACACTAACCCTCAGGACCATGAAGACCGGAAGTGGCTGGCTCACTACCAGAACAAGCGTCCCTGAACCACACAGCACAGCACTGGCCACAACCCGCTGGACACAGGGCACCCCGTCATGTCTACCTTTTGGGGTCCATGCATCCGCTGAGGTTCACCATCCTTGGTCCCATGCCTCCTTTCTGGTTCTTCTCCCAGCCAACTGCTTTAGGACAATCTTAAAGTAAATAAAACATAAAGTTTACTAAAAGAGAAATAAAAACAAACCTGCATTTATGCTTTCACGCTTTTGTGGCAAGCGCTTTACAGACTGAGCCTCTCACCCCAACTGCCCTCTCCTTCCCCCGACTTGGCCTTGACTTCTCCTTTTCACTTTGACTGTCCTCTTTTTTAAAAAATTATTTTTATTTTACGTATATGAGTGTTTTGCCTGCGTATTAGCTCACCACATCTATGCAGTGTTTTCAGGGGCCAGAAGAGGGCACCAGATCCCCTAGAACTAGATTCAGTTTTGAACCACCATGTGGGTGCTGGCATTCGGACCTCTACAAGAACAGTCAGAGCTCTTAACTGCTGAGCTGTCTCTCCAGCCTAACTGTCCTCTTTTAACTCCTGTTATAGGAGCCCCTGGAACTCAAATACCAGAATTCCCAGAGTTTATTCTCTGCTACAAAGATTGGTATGATATTTCCATGCCTGTAGTAGACCTGTCACTGTGGAGTACTCTTTCTATGTCCTGCAGTTAACAGAAACCCCTCAGGGCCACAAGACCTCCCACAATTCTGCTGTGGTTGTGGGACCTCTGTCCTCTCCTTTCTTTTCTCAAAGACTTCCTTCTATTCAGAATAAAGCTTCAACTCCTGAGCAGAGAACTCAGCCTTAGGATACATTTCAGTATCACTTCCATTGTCTGCTTTAAGTAGGCTCTGGGGTGGGGCTGGGCCGGGTCTGGGGTTGGGATGAACTGGGGCTGCAGCTTGGTAGTAGAACAACACTCAGTGTGGGAAAGTTGCAGTAATAGAACTAGGTTCCATTATCAGTTACACACACACAAACACACTTACATATGCACACCCACATACATGCTAAAACACATGCACAGGCTTTAATACAAGATACACGGTAGACTCGCACACATTTATATGCACATGCACACTCAAAATCCTGCACACTCACTCACCTACACTAAGAAACCCACAAATACACACTGACAAAAGTCATTCGTATTTATGTATGTGTACATAAGGACACACATGCTCACTCAATATATATTCACTCACACACTCAGATACCCACACACTTGCAAATACATTGACATACAGGTAGGTATGCACACATACATTCACCTACACACACTTTCAAAGATTAAACCAACACATACATGAAATACTCATGATCCTTCTGCCTCCACTTCCCAAGTTCTGGGATCACAGGCATGTGCTACCACGTGTGGTTGGCTACAGCCATTACTAAGAAAATTAGATGCATTGTAAACTTACTATAATGAAAATATTATATGTGAAGATTAGTAATCTCCACATTTACTTATATGTAAATCATCCTCATAACACACAGCCCAAATGAAGGAAGAACATGTTGGTAATGAGATGATGTCCAATCATGGCTAGGAACCAGGCAGAGCACAGGGGCAGGAGAAGCTAGGATTGCAGTGCATGCCTAGTAGTGGCCACACTGCTTCAGCCAGTGTACAGAGCAGCTTTCTGCCTACGATGGAGACTTTACCATACTCACATCACTGCGTTCCAACTGTGGGTGCCTTAGAGAGCCATGTGTGGCTTAATGATGGGGGCAGTTCTGAGAAATGGCAGGCTGCTGACTGACCCACTCTGAAAACACCACAGAGTGTACTTACACAGATTAAGAGGTCATGAGATCCCTAGGCAATAGACTCTTAAGGGACCACAGTTCTATGTGATGTGATGCTGTTACGCCACACATGGCTACACTGAAGAGTATGGCTATGGAAATGCCTTGGACTCATGTCATGATGCTGTAAGTCCTCATAATGTTTATTATAGAGCTTTATTTGCAGCTAAGGAAGGTCCCCTTCTAAGATGAGTCACCACTCTTCAACATGGAGTATGAAGAGGATGGAGACATAAAAGTCTTCATCAGTTGGGAATGAACCACAGGCCTGGGAAGCATAAGCCACACCAGAGAGGGAAGCAGATGGCTCAGTGCAGACTCAGGAAGACAGTGTCCTCATGGGATAAAATTAGGAGCATGGGAAAGGGGTCTGGTGGCTGCATCTTCTTGGCTTCATTTTTTAGTGACTCTCCATATACTCCACAACTCTTTGAGTTGCAACTTAATAAAGGGAACTTAGTTCATCTTAAAGAAGCACGCCAAGGGCGCTATTTCAGGATGTACCAGAAGAGGGCGCCAAGCCAAAAGCTAAGCAGAAAGCCTCTGAATGGAAGTAGTGGTTTCCTCCCTGGTCCATGCAGAGGATTCTCTGGGATGTATTCAAAATCTTCGTGCTGGAGCACAGAGTCAACAAGAAACGGGCTTTTGACTTCAGCACTTGGGAAGAGATGAGGCATCACACACACACACACACACACACACACACACACACACACACACACACAGTGGAAGGAGAAATGCGCCTTTGCTGACTGATACAGGGTCACACACACCTTCAAGTAGTGAATGAATAAACATGTTAAGTAATTAGCAACTTCACCCTTCCTCGAGGAAGAGGTACGAATAAAGAAATTGTGTTGATCAAAAACAAAAGAAAGCTGGAGACCCCCGCCTGCCCCCCAGACTGGAAAACTCCATTGGAGAAGCTGCCAAACAGCCCAGCCTCTGCTCAGGGCTGAACACAGCTGCCCTCTGTTCAAGGTAAGTGTTCACACTGCCTGCAAGGTGGGAGCCGTGTTTTCTCCCCTGCTGCTGTGAAGCTGTAAGCAGGAAACTGGGTCTCTGGTTACTCATCATTACACGCACTGGCAAAGACTTGCCAATTACCTGGGCTAAACGCCATTTCTGGAAGTTTCACCTCGAAGATGATGCTGTGGGCCACATCTCTCACCCCCTGCATGGTGCGGTCTCGAAAGCAGAGGACTTCAACGGACTGGAAACTGCCGCTCCTGTCGCCCGCACAGGGTTTGAGTTTATTTCATTTGATAAGAAAGGAGAGAAAGAGCTGGTGTCAGTGCTTTCCAGGCCAGCTGCAGAGAATTCAGGGCATGCAATCACTCCTGTCTAACCTCCCTAACCTTGAGAGATTTTGAGCACATTCGTGCAAGTACCCTTGTCTGTGCGTTTAGAGTCTGGCTGCCAATTTAGCTGGGAATTTTTCCCCCTTAGGTGATTTTTTTTTCTATAGCAATCACACAGCAGACAGATAATTCTAACAAAGGAAGCTTTTAAATCTGGGGTGGGATGCTCCAAGACCTTAACATGAGACCCTAAGGCCCTTTGCCAGCAGCCAGGAGACACATAGCAAAAGCACTGGAACTAACTGAGTGCACGCATAACCAGTCTTTCTAGGGTCTGTCAATATTTGTCTATCTTCATATTTTGGAGTAAATATTTTTACTTAAGTAAATTAAACACAAAGAAAAATCACAAAATCCCTCTAAGCTTGACCACTTCTATCTGAACCATCCCCTCCTAGATCCCCATACTGGTTTTACTTGTTTTGAACAACATAAATGGAATCATGACATGTATTCTTTCAGGCCGGCTTAATTCACTCAATATTGTGTTTGAAAAACCATCTATAGCTGGTTGTGGTAGTGCACACCCTTTAATTCTAGCATTTAGGAGGCAGAGGCAGGCAGATCTCTGTGAGTTCTAGGTCAACCATAACTACACAATGAGATTCTGTCTTTTAAAAAAAAGGCAAAAATGTGCTGCACATGCATACATTGCCAAAACACTCAATGCACATGAAATTAAAAATAGGCCTTAAAGAAGGAAGAAAAGCTATGCATGAAGGCATGCTCAGGATACCTGCTATGAGGAGCCTCCTGTGCCTCTGTCATAGAATGGAGGTGCATGAGGCTGGGGCTAGTAACCACAGTGCTGCTATACACTGTGTGTGCACCTTTGTGAGCATTATGCATGCATGCCTCTCTCTCTCTCTCTCTCTCTCTCTCTCTCTCTGTGTGTGTGTGTGTGTGTGTGTGTGTGTGTGTTCGCGTGCGCTTGTATCCAGCCTGTACCCCTGTAAGCAACAATCTCAGAATGTCACCACAGCGCCATGGGTGTTTTTAACTCCAGCTGATATTCCCACAAGAGTCACAGCATCTTTTATGGATTTTGCTGCCTCCCATTTCAACTCTCCCTGGCATGGTCACTTTCCTTGGGTGATTTTGGTGGGGCTGTGGCTGCTGACCTCTTATAGGTTTAATGTTATTTCCTTGATACCCAATGATGCTGAGTGTCTTATCAAGTATAAGTTGGCTCTTCCCAATGGCCCTTTTTATTATTTTAGGATTAGGGAATTTTTCAAAGGTGGGAGATAGCAGCAGTAGTAAATTCCCCTCTAAAAGCAGGAAGGGTGGGCTGGAGAATGTCAGTGTCATAGCCTCTGGGCTCCCGAGAAGACCTGCTTAGGAGCAGGGGGGGGGGGGTTATAGAAACTGGGTCACAGCTAATTTAATTGACTTATTTTCTAGTTTCCACACCAGGGATGAAATCAACACACTTAGGGAAAGACGCTGACATAAGTAGACCCACTGTGGGAAACATACAGATGAAGACATACAGACATGACACACATGTAAATACCATCTGTGGGCTGCCAGGACCAAAAAGTTCCTCAAAGGCCATCCAGGGTACTGGGCTAGGTTACAGGGATCGTACACACCAACTGTTATCTGTGAACAGAAAACACTTGCTGAGAGCCACACATAAGGGCAGTTTGACAGCACCACACACCACTAACACTCCACAGAAAGTAGGCACTTGGTGGAAGGTGAAAGGGAAGAAAGCCTTGGGATCTCATCCTAGATGAGAGGACTCCTTCACAGGCAAGAACTGGAACATTCTCCCTGTGCTGCCTGGCCTCGCAGTCAGCATGGCAGAAAGCAGGAACTAGAGAGGTCAGAAAGAAAAAAAAAACTGGACAGAAGGGACGTAGAGAAGGAGGGGAGGAGGGAGGGACAGTGGGTCCAAAGACAGAGGGCAAAGGACAGTCTACCTTCAGGACTTACAGAGGAGAGCCCTCTCAGAGAACTGCAGGCTGTAAGAATAGCTCATCTGTGTGTGATGAAGACAGAAAACCAGAACGAGGCCTACACCCTGAGTCTACAGTCAGTTCAAGTTAAAAAGCTAGATGCTTGCAGAGTGCACAGTGCAGTGGGAACACATATTCCTCCCACCTGTGTCCGCTGCCCCCTTAACCCTGACTTCCATCTGGGTAAGTATTCAACTTCAAACCACAGGCCTCCAGTGAGGGCTTTACTTGGGGAGACCCAGAGCTGCCCTCCTCCCAGACCATCAAACACTGCAGGTGACATGTATCTTTTCCCTTCTCCTCTCTGTTGAAAGGCACCTTGCCCCTGGGCCCCAGATCGATTGATCAATCGATCTGTCTGTCCATTCATCCATCTGTCCGTCTGCCCTCCCTTCATTTCTTTCTTTCTTTCTTTCTTTTTTTTTTTTTTTTTTTTGAGACAGAGTTTCTCTGTGTAGTCCTGGCTGACTTGGAACTCACTTGTAGACCATGCTGACCTCGAACTCAGAGATATGCCTGCCTCTGCCCCTTCCTGAGTACTAGGATTAAAGGTGTGTGCCATCACATTCAGTCAGATATTGATTTCTAAAAACCATTCTCCAATAAAATATGTCAGGGCACCTTGGATTTTAGAGTTGGGACCGATTTTAGAGTTGGGACAGAGAAAAGACAAGATGTGCCTGGATCATCTCATAGTACAAGATAAATAAAGTGCTCAAGGGAAAAGAATAAAAAAGAATGAGGCCACATCAGGGAAATGAAGAGAGCAGTACAGAGCTACAGAGCCCGAGTGTCCAAACGGGAGCAACCAGAGGGACAAGTGAGTTATGGGGTGGGGGGGCTAGAGGGATGGTGGGGGTGGGGCATAACCTAAACTGCAGAGTGTCTATGGCCCATGGCAGAGTATAGTGCATGCTAGGCTCCGAATCCCACCCTCACCTCTGCCAAAGAAATCGATAACCCCATACTCATCAATATTGGACTTAACAAGTCGGTAAGAACTCAAACAATGTGTATGGATGCTGCCCTCTTCAGGAGAGGCATTTAATCCTCCCCATCTCTGAGGGGAGGCTGAACTGAAGGATTTGTTTCCAAAGCACAAATAGTAACTTTACAGGAGAAGGCTGTAACCAAGGGTGTCATCAGGGATCCCTGGGGAGGAGGGAAGAGCAGGGGAACCTGATTACATCTAGATTCTTTAAAAAACCCATAACCACATTCTTTTGTAAAAATTATTTTATTATTTTTTCATACAATATTTTGATCATATTATTTCTCCTCTACCTCCCATACCCACCCAACTTTATGTTCTTTCTCCCTAAAACAAAACAAATACCAACACAAATGAGCAAACTATATATATTTAAAAAAACAATAAGACAACAATACCAAAACAAAACTAGATCAGTCATGGGGCTAGGGAAAAACCTACTACTATTAGTCTGATAAATGAACATAGCAATAAAATGACTCCTAATGGCATATTGCTATACCCATCGATCAGAGCATTGCTCAACCCTCATCAAAGAAGCTGCTTCTTGTAGTAGATGGGAACGAACAGAGAGACTCACAGACAATGTGTAGAGAGCAGGATGTCTTGCAGAAGAGGAGGCAGAAAGATTGTAAGAGCCAGAGCTGGTGGACATTCCAAGGAAACAACAGGATGGATACACATAAACTCATAGACTGTGGTAACATGCACAAGACCTGCACTGGTTCAAGGCAAACAAAGTCCCAACCCTGAGAAGAGGAATTGGACACAAAGTCCCAACCCCTAGCCAAGATGCTACCTGCAATTGATACTCACTGTCACTGGTGATATCAGCCATACTGCAGGACAGGTCCCATGGCTAGGAGTACTTGGCCAATGCATAACAAACTCATCAATGCAAAACATATAAAATTTGGTGCCCTCTTTGATTTTTTTCCTGGTTTGTTTTTGTTTGCTTGTTTGTTTATTTTAATTTGCTTGTATCCATAAGCACATTTTAATAAGAAAACAGATATTCTGAAAAACATAGCTTACCAGTCAAACTGTCAAGGTCATCAATACAAGAGAGTTTAGAGAGCCTACGAGACTAAGGGGACACAACACAACTGCAGTGCAAAAATGCTCTGGTTCAGGAGCTACTGGGAAAAGCGAGAGGACTGCAGCATCCCTGGCTCCTAAGCTCTGAAGCGGGAGTAGTGGTGGAAGGTAACAATGTAACAATGTCAAGGAAAACTGACTCACAGGAACAGACCGGAACTCCACACACTTTGCAACTATCTTCTTTTCCATATTTTCCCAGTTACCTTTAAAAATTGTTTAAGTGTATGAATGTTTTCCTTGAATGTATGTATCTGTACCGCGTAAGAGCCTGGTGCTCACGGAGGTCAGAAGAGGGCATTGGATCCCCTGGAACTGGAGTTATGGATAGTTGTAAATTGGTACATGGGTGCTGGGAATCAAACCTGGATCCTCTGGAAGAGAAGCAAATGCACTTCACCTCTCCAAGCCCACTAGTTACTTTAAAAAAGTAGTTTTAAATTTTTATGTGTATGGGTGCTGTGCTTGCATGCATGTCTGTGCACTGTTTGTGAAGTACCAGAAGAGGGCATCAGAGTCTCTGAAACTGGATTTACAGATGTTTGTAAACTACCATGTAAGTGCTGGGAATCAAATCCTGGTCCTCTGGAAAAGCAGTCAGTGCTCTTAACCACTGAGCCATCTCTCTAGTTCCTGTAACTATCTTCTATAAATCTAAAGTCGTTCCAAATAAAAGTTTAAGTTTTAGTAACGAGGAGGATGCTGAGTGTCTAGAGCACATAGAATCCTTTTCACCCTTCCATGATCTTAGACATATAGTAGCTACTCAGTAAATGTTTATTGAATGATAGAAACATGGATGAACGAAGGCCAGGATGGACTTTGGCATGTGTCCAGCACGTGCAGGTCCTGGGTTTGATTCCCAGTACTGCCAGGAAGCAAAACAAAACAAAAAAAGGCTGGACATAAATGAGTGGGAGGGAAGGAAGTAAGAATGAGGAAAGTAGGGAGAAAGCTGGCAGAGAACCATGCAGCCATGGATTTCCATTATAAGTATAATGTAGGTTAAATAAAAACAAGGTTGATATGAGCTCATGTACATAAACAAAATTTGTGTGGGGGGGGCAAGGAGGAAGAAGGAGAAGGAGAGAGAGGCAGTGATAGATATTGGGGAAAATGTTAGATAGATGTTGGGGATACATGGATTCTGGAGATTGAACTCGGGTCACCAGGTTTGCACTGTAAGCACCATTCCCCACCAAGCCATGTCACCACACCACTCCCTTTTGAAACAGGGTTTCACTATGCAGCAGTGGCTGTCCCGGAAATCACTCTATAGACCAGGCTGGCCTCAAACTCACAGAGACCTGCCTGCCTCTACCTCCAAGTGCTGGGATCAAAGGTATGTACCCGAACACCCAGTTCTGTCTTACTTTTAGTCTAAATTAGCCCAGAAACTTTATGCATTTATTTCATACAATGTTCAGTGTGGTGTAAGACAAAAGCAGAAGCGGTAGCAACATTTAGATTGAAAGCAAACAAATAAACAAGCAAACAAAAAACAATAAACCCCACAACCATGTCATATTACCAGCAGCAAAAGAAAGCTCTTTCCACCTCTTCATGCATAACTGTGGTAGAATATTATTTTATGGTGTATGACTTTTGTTTAAGCTGCATTTGTTTAACTCTGTGAAGCTGTGTTACTGTGCCTGTCTAAAACACCCGATGGTCTAATAAAGAGCTGAATGGCCAATAGTGAGGCAGGAGCAAGGATAGGCGGGGTTGGCAGACAGAGTATAAATGTAAAGAGAAAGAAGGATGGAGCAGCAACGAGAGAACAAGGAGAGGAGGACGTCAGGGGCCAGCCACCCAGCCACCCAGCCCACCCAGCCACCCAGCCACCCAGCCCACCCAGCCCACCCAGCCACCCAGCCACCCAGCCAGCCCTGCAGTAAGAAGGAAAGTAAGATATACAGAAGTAAGAAAGATAAAAACCCCGAGAAAAAAGGAAGGTGGATAAGAAAAGCTGGTTAGAAGCATGCCAAACTAAGACTGGGAATTCATAAGTAAGAATAAGCCTCCCTGTGTGACTTACTTGGGAGATGGGTGGTGGGCCCCCCAAAAAAGTAAAGAAGAAAACAATTACAATATACATAACTACTGTTCTGGCTGGCTTTCTTTTTTCTCCTTGTCAACTTGACACAAGTTGGAGTTGTCTGGGAAGAGGAATTAAAATGCCTCCAGCAGATTGCCCATAGGCAAGTCTGTAGCACATTTTATTGATTAATGACTGATGTGGATAGACTTAGGTGGCCCCAGCCCAGTGCTGACAGCATCACTCCCCGGCAGGACATCCTGGGATGTATAAGAAAGCCAACTGAGCAACCCAAGGACAGCGAGTCAGTAAGCAGCTCTCCTCCACGGCCTTTTCAGTTCCTGCCTCGAGGTTCCTGTCTTCACTTCATAATAGACTACAACTGTGAGATGAAATAAATTCTTTCTTCCCCAAGTTGCTTTGGTTATGAACTTTGCCACTGCAACAGAAATCCTAGCTAAGACAACTACCCCTAACTATTCTTTACAAAAATATGTTTGTATTATAACTTCTA